AATTTATATCTCATTATTATTCTTTAGCGTCTCATAATTTTGACCTTTTTTATCTCATAATTTGACCTGGTTATTTCATAATTATGACCTTAAATACCTTAATTTTTTATCTAATATATGATTATAATCATCTACATATTACGATTTAGTATCTCATAATTTCACATATGGAAATGGACTTAGGCAACAAAATTATGATGCCTTCTATTATACTGCATTTTGGCAGAATTTTAAAGCAGAATCACATCTATGCTTTTCAGTAAGGGCAGTCCTAGAATGCTTTGCGACAAACCCAGTGAAAACATTCACTCAAGATGGTGGCCCGAACTGAGGGAAATTATATGTCTACTTCCATACTATGTAATATGACAAAAGAAGCATGTCAAAAGAGTAGTAACCGAATAAACAGTATGAATGAAGAAACACGAATGAAGCAAAAGTATGATTGAAGTATGAATGAAGCAAAAAATTCCACTTACTTCCAAAAGTGTGCATACGATGGTCACTTTAAAATCCCATGAGGATATGCTACATCAAAGCAGAACATGCTGTTTTTGTGTAGCTAAAAGTTAAAGTTATAAAATGGCCAGTAAATGTTTCAGTAAATGCAGTACATACTCTGACTCTGATTACTTGGACGCAACATTGGTAATACTTTCATTCAATAATAAAAGTACAAAAAAATCATTCTATACTTTTTTTTATTTTTATGCTAATGTGAGTACTGAGCCATTAGCTTAGCAACCTGCTAAAGTCAAACTGGAATGTGAGTAGAGTATTTCGTTTCTGTGAGGACACTATTTGTGTTGGTGTCTTTGTAGAGTGTTCAATTTACACAGAGAGTATGCGATTTTGAAAGCAGCCTAGGTATACTACCTAAAGCAGGGCCGTTTCTAGCCAATTTGACGCCCTAGGCGAAATCCCTATTGCCCCCCCCCCCACACACACACACAAATTATATATATATATATTGGGGGATCCAGTGGGGGCGGCAGTCATATTTCAGGGTGACCGTGCCACTCTTTATCACAACCCTGCTAAAAGTGCCAGTACGTGCGCTCAGTGGCGCCCCTTCAGCTGGTGGCGCCCTAGGCGACCGCCTAGCTCGCCTATGCCTAGAAACGGCCCTGACCTAAAGTAAATACCACATAAAGTGTACTTCTGCTCAACGGTCCATGCACTGTCCCAATTTTTGTGTCCATGCAGATGTCCCGCGTACAAAAGCACAGGCACAAGGTAAATTTTTAGACAGACCGAGTCCACACGTGTTACTGCGCATGTGTTAAACTTGTCCATCCGCGCTTATCCGCGGTTGAACTTACTTTGAAAGCTGTGCGGATATAGCTGTGTGCAGGATGGAGCAGAACGTGGAAAAAGAAGTATACTCTGGCTTTTATAAGTAGGCATAACCCTGGTAGACAGTATCCACCTTATTTTGAAAGGCGCAAGTAAGCAATTTTCTGCGAATGTGCCAGACTTCCAATTCACTAGCCGCTATAGGAACGTAACTAGAAGAATGACAAAGTAGTAAATGGTAAAATTATTTGTGCCACAAACCAGTGTATTCATGAATACGATAATAAATTAAAATAATAGCAAACACCAGTTTGCAATATCAAGCAACATAACGGACAGTTTTTGTTCAGCTAAAATAACTGGAAGTTACTGACATGATGCAAAATAGTTCTAAATACTGTGTATTATGTGTAAATAATGTATTTTTCTGTTAATTCAAAGCCTAAAGGTCATTGCACACTGAGTCCGAAATTTTCGTTCGAAATTTTCACACGTTAAAAAATAAATACGACCTCACGTTGTGTCAATCACGTTTACACACTGCCTCCGTAACTTTCGTCCGTCATAAAAAAAATTTGGATCAGGTTCGATTTTCTGCGTTTTCGCATCCGTAGCAAGCATTTTGATAGGAAAGGATGACGAATACGAAAAAAACGAATACGCAATTTTCGGGCTCAGTGTGCAAGGACCTTAATTCTGCAAAGTCAGGCTCTGTTGGAATGCGAGTTTCTTATTTCCATGAGGGGCACTATTTGTGTGACACATGGAGTTGGAGACATTTGTAGAGCGTTCCATCTACACTTAGTATGCTGTCTTAGAAGGCAACTCACTAGTTTTGTGTGGATAATATTTTACTATTTTTAACATCTTGGTCATAACTTTGGGGGTCTGGTGGTGTCTACAAATTATTGCTGTGTCTATTTTTTTTACACTTGACTCAACTTAGACCCTCACTTGACGAGGCAGCCCCTATGTCGGGGCCCCCAGACACACATACCTCCCACTTTGAGGTTACCGGGCACTTGTGAAGACTACCGCCTGCGTTCACAAAGATTTACCACTTATACAGCGTCACTCCCTACATGTCTCTCTCACACTCCCTTTCTCCTCGTCTGCCCTCTCTCAGACTCTCCTCTCTTACTGCATCTCTCCTCTCACTTTGCCGTTTGACCCACAGCCTGCCCACGTACTCATTCCGGCTTGCTCTCCCATCTATTTGCTTTGTCTGTGTAACATTTATCAGTTCATCTCCCCTGGCCAGCCCTCTCGTATCTGTTACACCACCTGATCTCCCTCTGCGTACACGTCCATCTGTGCTGCTATGACGACTGTCTGTAACCACTGCGACCTGTCATCCTCACACACACAAATCACAACTGTAATGTGACCACCACACGCTACACGCTTAGAAAGACTCATGCTGTGCAGAATCATCCATATGTACAGACACACAAACGACATTTTGAAGACGCTGCGAACTTTGATTTTTGAGGAAGCATTAGCATGCATATTAGTAGGAACAGTCTGAAAAATAGTGTGTATCCTGATTTGAGATAAAAAAAAAAAGTAGAATTCATGACAACTTATTTTCTAAGATTGTTTATCTGACAATCACCAATACAATCTTGGATGTATTTGTTTGATACTGCATTTGCATGACATGTTTCGTATAATACAGCTAATGCTGCATAGGGGACGTTTCCAAGATGGCCGGCAAATTTGGCATGGCTTTAAGGGATTTAGATAATTATGGAAGCCCGTTTCTGCCACTGAATAAAAAAAAATTTAAAAGGGTAATTGCGACTTTTTATCTCACAATTACGACATTTTTTCTCACAATTGCGAGTTTACATCACACAATTCCAATTTTTTTTTTCTCAGAATTGCATGATACAAACTCACAATTCTGAAATTTTTTTCAGAATTGTGAGATATAAATTCGCAATAGCGACTTATAAAGTCAGAATTGTGAGATATAAACTTGGAATTCTGTGAACATATCAGTCGTTTTCTCCTCGGAATTGGACTTTATAACTCGCAATTGCGAGTTTACATCTCACAATTCTGAGAAAATAAGTCAGAAATGCAAGATGTAATTGTGAGATAAAGAATTGTGAGATAAAAAGTCGCAATTACCTATTCTTAAATTTAGTGGCGGAAACGGTCTTCTATAGATTATACCCATCTTGTTTTGGTTTATGGCTTTCCTAAAAATAATATCAGTGATATTTACAGATACACACAACACAACGTTTTGAAGACAATGCAAACCTTAAATTTTGAGAAAGCATTAGCATGCGCATTTGCAGAGACAGTATGATTTGTGCTAGAAGTACTGTAGAATCTATGATACTATTTTTGTCAGATTGTATTGCGGATTGGCAGATTAACACACTCTTGGATGTATTTGTTTAATACTGTATTTGTTTGACATTAGTTTTTAAATATAGCTAATGCTACATTGAAAATGTTGGGGGTTTCCAAGATGGCCGCCAAAAGTGGCCGGCAAAATTTTTTTTTGATTACATCCTGTTTCATTTTATTTTCACCAACAAAAATGTATTGCAGTCCAGACCATAGTTATATAAATTATTCTTCTGCAAGTAGAGAGTAATTTATGGTGGTATTAAGATACAACTTTTCTGAGTGGATTTTAGCATGCTAACAGTAACAGTAAACTGCTAGCATGCTAAAATCCCAAGGTAAAACAAATCATCTTATAAAATACATTTTCAACAAGACAATTGCTGTCTAAATATTTTATATTTATTTGTCTACATTCACATGGAAGTGGACTTGTTTTATAATGGTGTTACATCTTGCTGTTTTGTGAGGGTCCTGCGGTTTGTTTTTTAGACCATGAATGTAGTTAAAAATGGTTCAACTTTTAAAAACATGTCTCGGGACCACAGTCTGCAGCCCACTGTTTTTTAAAAACGAGAACTTATGCTATGCATATTCCGCTTAAGAAAACATAGCTATGGTCGTCTTTGAATGAATATGCTTCCAGCTGGGAGGGTGAGTAAAATTATTATTATTAGTAAAATCTAAAATGTTTTTGCAAAATTCGATTGGGAAAAAAACATCAAACCAATGATAAATTTAACACTTTTTATATTTATATTAAAATAGCATTATTACATTAACAATAATTTCCATCAAAACAAATAACAATTAATTACTCTTGGAAGCAGTTGGGTAGTGCATCTACCTTTTATAAATAAGTTACGTAAAAAGCCAGAAAAGAAATGCATCATTTACAAACAGTTATTTTATAGCTTTACAAGATCCAGAAGCAGCTGAATGCACAGACGGACATTTGGGAACAGCAGGCATTAAATGTCAGAGCACTCCATACCGCCCCCTACAGGATGGGAGTATTTCACGGTAACCTCATTACAGCTAAACACAATCTTCTTTATTTTATTTAAATATTGAAGTAGGTACTATTGACCGTGCATCTACCAACATGCGAACATTAAGTGCTTTCAGCACTTCATAGTTGATCATCTCCAGTGTATGACATTCCAGTGTTTTTGCACCAATTAAATAATGTCCATGATACTGAGAGATCCTTACAAAAAAGTACTGAGGCAGTACCATGGTATCAGATGGATAACCATATTCGTATACCATGGTATATACATGGTACTCCAAAGTACTTCAACGAATACCATCATATTACCATGGTAAATGTCCAAAAGACTGTTTTGTAAGTGCTTTTACTCCTCGATTTCATATCTAGCCAGCTGATATTTTGCGATTTAATAAACTTGGAGTGTTTACGTAGCTTGGAAAATGTACAGATTATACATTTTGAGATGAATTTGTAATAGTTATTTGCATTTTATACTTTTCTGGAAGTCCTAAGCTTCATATCTCCAGTTGCTTTGCTCTTTGAGAGTCCAAATTCACCAGTCCTCACAACTTTCCAGTTACATATTCCAGTTTTACTTCTTCCAGTTGCTATTCCAGTAGTTCCTCCAGTGGATAAATAGTCCACCGTTGTTTTCCAAACCGACACGCAGTGGGTCTACATCATTCATTGGCATTTGAAGGCTACTTTGACTTTCCCCAAGTAGTTAATCACTGATTTGAGCCAGATTCTTGGCCAACCAGTAGTTCAAGTCAATATTGCACCACATTTGGCAGTTGTTGTGCTGACCGAAGTGTGAAGTGTATTTGGCAGACCGCAATTGTGTTGTTTTAAATACAGTCTCACTATTTGGCAGGCTGTGTTTGCATCCTTATGGAATCCCTTTTAAGTCCTTTCTCACGGGATATCCTGAGTACGACCAGCTCACGTAGTGCAGAGACCACAGAACTGGTGGCCTCCTACGACTGCAATGGCTGATGGGAAATGTAGTTCATGGGAGCTTATTTGGCAAAGATCAAAGACATTTCCAGTTATTATAAAAAGATTTCCAGTGTGTCTCTGCTATATCCTGTGTGTGTGTGTGTCTCCACCCTGACTCCCAGCTTTGTGGTTTCTCCTGGGACTTTGGCAGCAGTTCAGAGTCTTGGTCTTCTTCAGGACATAACCCTGTTAGAAGATGGAGGTCCAAATCTGGTTAGATCTTTGATTAGATTTCACTTGAAAATTGAATTGTTTTGTTAAAGCCGCAGTGTGTCATTTCCATGCCGCTAACAGTATCAAACTGAACTGCAGTCTGTTTAAATGGGCTCAACCAGTGATGTCTATATATGGAAGACGCTATTAACCTTAGCATTTGCTAGCATTGTTAACCCAACAATGGTAGATGGGGTGTTGGAAAATATTTCTGCAGTTCTCTTTGATGCCACTAATTACACAGAAATGACTCAGTTTTGTTGTATTCTATGTTTAGTAGTGTATGGGTCAATGGCATGTAAGAGCATTCACAAGGTACTCATTGCATTCTTGTTGGTTTCATATAATTTTGAAAAACCTTTATATCATTTAAGAAAAATTTTAACTGAATGACTTTAAAAGTGTCATGTGGTGTAAAGGAAAAATTATACATTCCCCTAAAACTTTATATATACATCTTAGCTTATCATTATTTTCATTTTATTTAAATATATTTTTCAAGGTAACAAATTTCAACGATTCAAGGTAAATAGCATTATGCTTTTGGTGAAACATGCCACTTGACATTTTACAACCTGATGTCATTTCCTGTTTTGGTGCTGGTAACCAAATAGTTGACTGTAGCCATTGACTTCTGTAGTATTTTTTTCCATAATATGGAAGTCAATGGCTACCGTCAACTGTTTGGTTACCAACATTTTTCAAAATATCTTGTTTTGAGTTCCACAGCTGAAAGAAATTGATACAGGTTTAGAACAACTTAAGGTTGAATAAATGCTGGTGTGAGTGTATGTTGGTATGGGCTTTGTCGGTACCCTTGTGTGTGCGCGACTGTGTATTTCGACTGCCATTGTGGTTCCTGACTCTCTCTATCCTCCAAATGGAGCCTTTGATTATGTTTAAGTTCATCATTGCGGTGTAGCTCCTCTTTCGATTGCGTCTTTGGTAATGTTACTTTAGGGTGGGGTCTGGGTGGAGGAAGGGGTGTGGTCTGGAGCCGTGGGGGTTGTGCAGAAACACGTGATTGACAACTACAAGTCACATGGTCCTCCACGGGTATGACAACCTTCTCGTAGACTGGCTGTCGGTTGATGAACTGGATTTTTGTCATCTAGATAAAAAAAAAAGAGATATTAAAATAATGATATTTACAATGATAAACCACCTAATTTCTGAACAAATCCCATCATTTTACTAAGCTAAAAATGTGACATACTTATTAGCATTAAAAATTCACAGTACACTTAAATATTGGGTAAAATAGTCAATTTGTAATTAGGGTTGCAAGGGGGTGGAACATTTCTGCTAAATTTCCAGAATCTTCCCAAAAATTTCCGAAAGATTCCAAAAAAAATCCTGGAAAATTTCCTGGAAGAATTGTTGAATAAATTATGTTATTTTTGTTTTCTTCGCATACAAAAAGTATTCTCGTAGCTTCGCAAAATTGAAGTTGAGCCACTTACAGTGGGTACGGATGTCACATGGACTGTTTTATCGATGTCCTTACTACGTTTCTGGACCTGGGAACATTTCAGTTGCGTTGCTGTCTATGCAGGGTCTGAGAGCTCTCACATTTCATCAAAAATATCTTAATTTGTGTTCCGAAGATGAACGAAGGTCTTACTGGTTTTGGAACGACATGAAGGTGAGTAATTAATGACAGCATTTTCATTTTTGGGCGAACTAACCCTTTAACAATGTGATATGCTAATTTGCATAAAATACAGTACAATTGGGTAAAATACTCTATTTGTAATTAGATTTAAACAGTTTTATGTTGGTATATGTTGCTAAGCTAACAATGTTAAATCCAATTAACATTAAAATGCACAATACGTATAAATATTGGGTAAATTAGTGTATTTAAAATGATATTTACCTATTTTATGTTAGCATGTTGCTACGATAACAATGTTATACACTAATTAGCATAACATACAGTACATAAATATTGTATAAAATAGTCCAGTTGTAACTAGATTTGACTATTTTATGTCAGTATGTTTCGAAGATAACAATGTGACACAAATACGTATACAAATTTAGTACATACAAATATTGGGTAACTACTTTTTTATTGATATTTTAAGATATTGAATGAAATACAAGTATATTTTTAGTTTTAAGATTTCTATGAACTCTCGTAGATGTTTTTTTTTCCACAGAGCTCTGCGCAATGCATTCTGGGAATGATTTCTCAGTGAATGATTCCTGTAATGATACTTGAGAGTTTGGCCAAAAGGAATCTTTTAGAAAACGTGTTGTCTAAGAACAGCTACAAAGTCATTGCAATTTTGCGCATAAATACCTGTAAATGTCGTGTTTCTGTGGTGACTGGCACACATTGTAAAACACGTGTGTTGCAGCAGCCCGAACAGCGCTGCACTTCCACACACGGAGGCCATAACAAGAAGTTGGCGTTCCGTCTGTCCAACATTGAACGGGTCACTTCCATAACTTCTGTTCTCACCTTACACATCGCCTGCTGGGCCACCTGAACATCTGTGAGAGAGTCAGAAATAACAACGGTTGATTTAACATTTATTTAATGTTTATTTATCATACTGCCACACAGCAGCAGCCAAACTGGATGGAAGTTAAGACAAACCAGACTAACAAGACTACAGACACACTCTATAATTCACCCTCTCAGTGCTGTCAGTGTGTTTGTTGTACAGCTCACAGATCTGAGGTGCACTTGACTGAAAGCGAGCACTCAGAGAAAGAGAGAAAAAAACAAGGGTTCGAGTACATGTGCGAAAGAAGCGTGGGTGGTAAAACTGAGCTTTGAAACTTGTGTGTGTGTGTGTGTTTGAGGGTGACCTAAGGACATGTGGCGAGACAGAATCAATCACAGAGACGCAACAGCAGACTCCAGGCCCATATATGCACATCTCACACACTCGCACAAACACACAACAAAGCCACAACACCATTTTGGAATGGAGATGCCACAGTGTCTCAAAATAATCGCCACAGACTGGAAATACATTGAAATTCTGCTGGAGGACAAAGATGAAGAGACGGGAGTGTGGAAAAGAGACAGCGAGACAAAGAGAGGAAGGAAGGGAATGCTAGCAGACTTACTAAGGCTTCTGGGAAGACGTCTGTGTGTTCCGTTAGAGTGCATCTCATTCTCGGGCTTCTCATCATCTTCCTCTGAAAACATTTAAGATATGGAACATCGTTCACCAATTTGATTAGTTAGAGATCATGAAGCTGACTTTACATTTGTTGACTTCTGAAATTCATCAGTTAAGCGTAATTTCATTTTTGTGTAATCAGACTTTAAAGGCCTGTTCACACCAAGTACGATAATTATAATGTTTTGGGGAAAGTTACTTTTAAAAGTAATGCATTGCAATATTGTGTCACTCCATAAAAAAGTAACTAATTGCATTACTTACAGTAGTTACTTTTTTCTGTAAAGTAATGCATTACGTTACTTTTGCGTATTTGTGTTGTGTTTCTTTATGAAGTTTTAGTCGTAGACAACATTGTCATCTGTACCACCAAAAAAATGCAAAAAGAAAACGTCTAAACGTACATTAATTATATGAGAGTACAAAAGTCCACAGCAAAGCTGTAATGATATAATTGGAATCACTTTCAGAACAATTTGTTGCAGCTGATGAATGATACAAATATTGACAGCCAATCAGAATCCATCCGACAAAGCACTCAAAATTTAAAGCAGCAGATGACAAAACGCCAGCATACATTTATATTTTGTGTGTGAATGGCCTTAAAGGGAAAACCACACCTATAACGATTACAACACAGAAAAACAATTTCACACTAATCACTTTCAGAATGATAAAAACACTCACAGCCAATCAGAATCCACCTGACTTTAACAAGCCTGAGGATGTAATGTGGCATACGACAAAACTGTGTTATCCTCCATTAGTGCATATCATTATGGTTATAATTTTTTGGTGTGAATGGGTCTTAAAGGGAAGCTCATACCACAATTATGATGACACAGAGGAACCATTTTGTTGGAATCACTTTCAGAATAATTTTCCCAGCAGATGAATGATTAAAATATTGACAACCAATCAGAATCCACCTTTTAAGCATTTAAAGTGACAGACGACAAAACTGCAGTGAGCACTTATAATAAACAGAACGTCATAATTTCTTGGTGTAGTTGTTGAAGTTATCGTGGTGTGAACGGTTGTGGTTTTCTTTCTCAAATTTCAGTGAGCATTATCTTTTACAAGACATTGATTTTGTTTTAGGGGACATCAGGACTTAGGACATATATTTTCTCCTTTTGGGGAGACACTTCAGTTAAACGGTGTAAAAAAAGAACCACCCACTCATACAGGAAAGAGTTTGACTGACATGTGAAGTGACCAATCACAGTCTGCTTTTTTGTCTATCGGACATAATTCTAAAAACAATGCAGAACATACATCTCTACTTAAATTTACTAGAAAGTATCTTGAATATCCTTCAAAGAAAATCCTTGAAATTCTTGAAAATCGTTCGAGGCCAAAAACGTTCTGAACTTGCGACTATTTCATCAACTAGTTCTTCTTTCAACGTGAACCTGTACATACGACTCATGGAAACTCGCCATTGTAATGTGCATTTACGTTGCGCAACTCTGCTTTGTCTGTGCATTTGTTTGTGTCTCTGTGTGTCTCATCCTAAAGACCCGCTGCGTCTGGGATTGCCATTTGAATCCTCTTGATTCCACTGTCCTGACACCTTGCCGTAAATCTGATCAAGCCCTGTCAATCTACTGTATATCCATAAGTGACGTTCGTCTGGTATAATAGCTCTTGTAGTAAGGGTCGTAACATTGTTAAATCTAGCTAAAATGCACACACATACACACACCGGTATTGGGAACAATAGCGTAGCCTTGTGTTTGTGTCCCCTCTGTAAACTTTGAGCTGGACTGGGCTCAAGGTCACTGCTATTGTGCCTGTGAAGAGCTATACACGGCCCATTCATGTAAATATTACCATTATCCACATGCATGCACACACACACACACACACACTGCATTCCAGACCCCTCACTCTTTCCTGCCTCACCTTCCCACTCAACACACACCAGAAAACACACACATTCCACAAATGACGAGACGTTTACTAGTGCTGATATGGGTTTTATAATGGACGATGACGATATGTAGAGAGCAAGGCGGCCATTGCAAAATATATTTTATTTAGAAAAAAATATTTAGAAAAAAAAAGATGATATATATATATCAGCTTTACCTACGGATTCTACGTCCAGAAGTCTCTTCAGATCATCTACGGATGAGATCGGACTGTTCATCACTAAATCCACCAGAGATGGAGGGAAAGGGTCTCCCTGATGAAAAAAAAGAGAGAGAAAGAGGTGATCAGACATGTCTAGAACAAACACACACCTGTCTGGGTGAAAAACCAGTCCCTGTAACTTCAATAAAATACATGTCTAACCAGTGTACATATGACACGTGTTGCAGAGGCATGTGTGGAGAGCTCCAATTGTACTTTGTGCTTATTTTTTTATCTCTGTCCTTTATTAAGCTGCATTACTCATAATCAGGTCACTCTGTGTGTGTGTGTGTGAGATGTGGTCAGTGTCATGTGGCAGGCACACAGTGGGAAAATAAATATATAAATAAAACATATTGCCGTAAGCAACAAACCAATCAAAAATCACATCCCCACACAGGGTTCCTCATAAATGTGTTATAATTTCTTACAGTGTACTGCAGTCAGGAGATTTTTCAACAACAACAGTTGTGCTGTTATTATCTAGACATGCATGCCACAAATTATTAATAAACTGTATATACAGACAAGTGATAGATATGTTGGTTAGGCTGATTAGTTGGCCGATGTAGACCATGTTAAAGGCCATTTGTTACTGGTAATGGCAGTTCCCCATTTTGAGCAAAACAGGTGATTTTAGCAATTTTAAGTGCATCTAGTTTGTTGTCATTCAATTGTATTATGTATATAACCAGCTACTAACTTTCCAGTTCAGTTATGAAAACATGATATCTGAATGTTCTCTGAACGATCAAAACAACAGTTTTTTTAAAAAAATGTTATGTGAGCATTGCAGAAAACATTAAGGGAACGTTCCATTTTATCATTTTGCAAACATTGTGGAAAAGTTCGTTTTAAATGTTCTCTGAACCATCCGAAACTAATAAGTATTAAAACATTTTTAAAAGTTAGACGAACATCCAACTTAAATTGTTTCAGAAAAAAAACAAAAAATGTTGCTTCATAACTTTGAGAAAACCTTGCATTCCTGTTAGCTGGGTATTAGCATAAAATCAGCCACTAGCCAACCTGCTCTCTAGATATTAGCATCAGCCACCGAAAAATCCATTTAAATGGACCACTAATAGAAATATATTGTAATGTTCATTTCGCAAAGCCTGCGACTAGGGATGGACGATATATCAGTAGACATGGTTAACCAGTAGAAATTTGTCAACTGGTAGAGATTTTTTTGACTATCGTCTCTACCGCGGTTACACACTCACGTGCTGACGCTGCTGTGCTACGTGGTCATAAAAACGTATTGTTTACAAGCATTTTTAAGCTTTGTGATTTAATAACAAGTGATTTTAAGCCGTTGAAGCGCAATCAGCAGCGAAAGAGAACTAATTTCGCTATATGTGCGCGTTGTCTGGGAGACTGTTTCTGAGTTATTTTTGCCGCTTTATAGGCCTTGAATAGTTAAATACACACTTTTATGTGTCAAAATGCCCATCTTTGCAAGTATCCTGATAAACACAGCAATTTAGGTCTGAAGTGAAAGCAAACAGCTGAGAAAGAAAACACATGTGTAACAGTATACTGGATCTGGGCAGCTCTTAAAGTGACAGCAGTCTAATATTCCTGCTGTCTGTCATTCATGTTAATCAATGTACATTTGTAACAACTGTTTTAAATTTTTGTATTTTTTTTATTTAGGCTAGTATTATTTTTTTGTGATACTGACACTGGTGACAAGAATTATGAAATTTCAATGGTATCAAAAATTTTGGTATCATAAAGACCTTACTTAAAGCAAAAATAACTATATCATGATATATATTGTGAAATAAATCGTTACCGTGAAATAAAGTTACTCATATTGTGATATAAGATTTTGGTCATATCGCCCACCCCTACTTGCGACCATTTTTTAAACTAAGCAAACTCAGCTCATTCAGAGAACGTTATGTATGATGTCACAACCATGAACACAATGCAACCGCCCACGCTAAGTATGCCAATGTGACAATACAGTCTCACATCAATTCATAACTATTTTGATTTGTTCGTATGATTCATTCGTACAACCTCATTCACACATTTTCATCCGATCTGCTCTCGCCCCATAGGTTTAGAGATTAAACTTTATACATACTTTTTTCATATATATCACATTGTAAGAATTTGTACGAAATTTCACGAAATTGCACACTCGCAAATTATTTATGATTTTTCGTGCAATTTCTCATGCGATCCGGTTGGAATGTGAACGCTTGTAGCTACACATGCTTTAAATTATTTATTATTTTTTGTGCAATTTCTCATGCGATCCGGTTGGAATGTAAACGCTTGTAGCTACACGAACTCTGTTTCATGTTTTGCTGCATTCTGAAATGCAATGAAGTGATTATAGCTGAGCAAGCAATTATAACAAGAAGATTTGCATACAGAAGCCTTAAAGGTACAGTAGCAACAATCTGTTTTGAAGTTATGAAGTAACATAATAAGTACACTAATAGGGGAAAAAACTAAAAATACTACAAAAATGCAGAACAGTAGTCAACCAAGTTAGCCAGATGCACAAAACCAAGATGCCGTCCAGTTGGACAGTGAAAGACCAACGTTCATCAGCATGTGTAAAATCCATGATGGATCCTCAGGTGTGAAGAACTGCACATCAGTGTGAAACACACATGCACTAAAGCAGTATTTCATACCCACTGTCAAGTGCATGTGTGTGTGTGTAGTGCAGTAACGCATACAGTATACCGATCCTATTAGGATGATATCACTCCCATTTGCCACATGCTGTAATGAATCATGGGACGCAGGAATGCCAATAGTTCATCCAGGGGAAAAGTTGAGGAGGAATGGGGTATAATTATGGACCTGGATTGCCATACGCACACACTTGAAACATTAGAGGGCAGCCACATGGCAGTCTGCCATAAACGAATTCAGACATAAAGAAATACTGTAGCCACACCTGCACATACAAACACACAGTTTGTATAAATAGATGCACTGAAAGAAGTATAAAAAGAAGGATTTGTTCAAAAAAAAAAAAAGTCTTCGATAATCATGCTTACATAGAGGGAGATTATATATTATATGAACGGATAAGCACAAGCACAATAAGGTCGATCCATCTTCCATTTTCCAAAACGGAGTCATTAATTCGATGCACATTTGTTTGGCTCAGCTTTCATTCGCTCGATTCCTGAGTCATGTCTGCAAAAGCAATTTCGATTTTTTTTAAGCCCTCGGGCCGTGACACACACGTAATGCCCCGAGAGACCCAAAGCCAAATAATTTTATGTGATTCCATCCGCACGTCTTTAACGTGCCGCCTAGATTATTCCTCCCTCTTATATAACTTATACACAAGACTTATGATGCATCAGCTGGAGGACTATAATCTCATCAGCTGTGACCTTTTAAACTCCCTCAAACAGTCCGAATCAGAGCGCTGGGTTTTAAAGGGTAGACCTGACATAAAGTTTTTTGTAGGTTTGGTGGTGATGCAATGGTGATATTCAAGAGACGGATTACAGAAACATCACAAGGGGATTTAGGTCTTATAGTGTGTGTGTGTGTGTGTGTGTGTGTGTGGAAGGTAATTGATGTGCATGTCATAAAGACCTTTCCATAAAGGTCAGATGCATACATGAGAATATCAGCCACCCAAATCAAGATGCATGAATGATTTTGCCGAATCCGTTCTATTACTGTGGGACGGATTGTTTTGGCAGATACCGATATATTTAGAGAGCAGGGTGGCTGACAGTATCATATTATTGCAAATAAGATTTGCATTTGCAAAATAACTAAAAGAAAAATGACTAAAAAAAATATTACAAATGCACACTATCCACTGATGAGGCAGTTGATACAGTTATACTGCAAGTCAATGCCGATAACCTCAGCATGGCCAAATATCGACCAACATATCGAATACAATTTTATTATCACCAGGATTCCCACAGCAGTTGATTTCCAATGACTTTTGGATTAAATAAGTATTGAAATATTAAATTCAGGCTGACACGCTAATGAATCATGTAGACAGATTTGTGAATCTGTTTGATTCGTTGAAAAACCCTGAATTAGGCACAACTATAATTTTTCATCAAGTTTTAGAAAAATGTACTTTCAAATATATTTTAATACATATGAAATTTTTTTTTTTACATACAAACTCCGTAAAATTGAAAAGGCATGAATCATCCACCACTATGATTTTTGATCAAGTTGAAAAATGTACATTCAAATAAATTTTTTACGTAATGTTTTACATATATGTCCATTACTTTACAGATTCGATTTGATTTACATGACGTTTTAGAAAAATGTCCATTTAAACATATTTTAAAACGTATATAAATATATTTTTGCACACACATACACACACGAATCTGTTTGACCGATTCGTTGAAAAGACCTGAATCATCCACCACTATGATTTTCGATCAAGTTATTGAAAAAAGTACATTCAAATGTATTTTTCACATAATATAAATATTTTACATTCATGTCCATGACTTTTCAGATTCGATTTGTTTTTCACGTGAAGTTTTAGAAAAATGTGCATTCAAAAATATTTTAAAACATATATAAAAAAAAAAATTTCAATACATTTTACTATGACCACTATGACTTCTGACCAAGTTTTAGAAAAAATGTACTTTAGAATGTATATATTTTTTTATATTTACAAATATTTGCAGTTTGGAATGTAGTTCAAAAATATAAAAACTATTTAAAAAATGTAAATACATTTTGTCTGTGTGTGTGCACGTGTGCACATTAGTTTTCAGATTTGATTAATTCACATCATTCTTCCTAGTCTGGAAAACACAATTTCAAGTTTCTAGGACCGTGGGAACCCTCCAGAGGACCCTCTTCTATAGCAACTCGCAGCACTATTTTAATACGGCTAAAGACGTACTGTAGTGTTAAATGCACAACATAATTGGGGTCTAAGCAGTGACAGTTGATGCTCTTGGACTGAGTGATGTGTTTTTGGCAGTGGTGCATCTGGGAACCCATCCAGTGCACATTAATGCTGGCAACCCTAACAGTGTCTTTGTTTGAGTTTAGAATTGCAGACATAAACAAATACAGATAGATTAAGCATCAAATCAAGTATGGTTTCTCTTTTCTCCTCCACTCTGGGGCCAACGCGCAGTCAGGCGTGCTTATGAGGGAATTTGTTACAGTTTGCTCGAATTTCGTCCTCGAAATCAAGACAGTTAAAAGTGAATGCAGCTATTGTCAAATGAGACATATGAATTAAACTCCAACCGAGCGTGACGTCAGTCAGGTGAGGCTTACCTGCGCGCGACCGGACCGCAGGCACGCCGCGAGCGCCGCGAGCGCCAGCAGCAGCAGCCGCGAGCTCATCATGCGCGCACATCCAACTGTCTCTCTCGCTGTCAAACACACACACACACACACACACACACACACACTGCAGGAAAGTTTATTCCAGAGGGGCTGAGTCACTTTGAACACCGTGCCAGCTGGTCATTTTTGACATTTAACGGCGTATCCCAGATCTCCAGTGTGGAAATGAAGTGTTCGCGTCACCGGTGCGTTAAAAAGCGCATATTAATGATTCACTTGAACGGAAGGAAAACAAAACTCCAGTCTTCGGATTACAATATCAGCTTTAAATATCCAAGTAAAATACGTCCAGTGTGTTGATTTTCAAAAATAGCCCGTGCATTTTCATTCCAGCGCTGCAATGCAACTTTCCCTGGCGCTCGCGCAGCAGCGTGTTTCTCAGGTGCTTTAATGTCGCGCGCTGCTGCGCCTCGCTCTGGCTTCAGCCTTAAAAAACAAAACCCGCCCCCTGCGTTCTGATTGGCTCGCTGCGCCTTCGAGGCTGGACTGATGTTTCCATATAAGGCAAATGATTAGATGAGGGGGGTCTTCATACGTGACCTGACATTCTGAAAGTGTGACTTTTATTGGGAGAAAGGCAAGAGTTTTCTCACAGCCACCTGTTGTGTCTTGTTCAAGTGCTTGTGAACTGGGAAGTCACACTGCACTGGAAGATCAGAACTGGTGATGAAGAGACGCTGGACATGGTACCATATGCAGTATATCACTGAATCTTATGAAATCTGTCTTATGACATTTATTTTAGGAGCATTAAGATTACTTCAACCCAAAATAATAAAAAAGGGGATTGATTGATTGATTGATTGATTGACTGATTGATTGATTGATTGATTGATGATCGATTGATCGATCCATTCATTCATTCATTCATTCGAAATAATAATAATTTTTTTGCTTATTTTAGGACCACAGAGAGTTTTTTTTTTGTATTATGAATTTGTGACATTATTTCATGACAATTCATAACAATTTCATGAAAATTATTTTCTTCTCAAATTCTCATTATTATGATATAGTAACTATGTAAAGTGCACAGTTGTTCCACCATGAATTTGTTGTACTGCATTTGATGCTGATTTAAATAAAACGATCAATTAGCAGCAAATGTGACATTATTTGCAAGACAATTAATTATATTCTTGTCATGCATATAATATCACAAAACCAAATCTTAAATGGGTCTAAAACAGAATTAATATTCGTTACACACTCAATATATATATATATACAGTGTTCGAACTATACCGTGGACTCTGGGGGAGCCCACTTGTTTTTTTTTTATAAGGGGGTGGGGGGGGGCACTACTTGCTTTATGCAAGCACTATATAGGATAAATCACTATACAGGATT